AATATTAAATTAATTATTAAACGATCTTTTGATGATTTTAGTGAAGACACGGATGATATCATTTTTGAAGATTTTGCGCGTTTGAGACTCAGAGGAGAGACTGAAGCCTAAAATGTATGGATAAATGACTGAATTCTATGCTTTTACAGATCAAACTCGTTGTTCACTGCAATTCACAGTACAATTTGAATCCCACGTCAAATGTATTTATTTTCTTAAAATCCCTTTAGATATTTGTAACCACTTGAATGTTCGTACCATTATTTCCGAAATGCTTTACTGTTATATCAATTTTCTGAAAACTTTTTCTGTATTAACAAAACCATGAACTCATTGAACTCTTATAAGACTCGAACCAACAATTTGTATTAAAATTAAGTTTTTAACTATTGATATAAACATTTACCGTAATATTATTTTTATTTTTTTACATTCCAATCATTTTTGTTTATATTTTATATACAAGACTGTTATAATAATTGGCTCTTTATTTAACGAAATTCTTATCAATAATTTTAATAAGTTTTACAATGAGAACCATTAAAAATAATTTATTTGCGATTACTTTTTGTGCCAAATTCATAAGCATTCAAATCTAATAATCCTTTTCCATTAAAAAAGTATTTCTTATTTTTTCAAATTTGGTTAATGATTGGAATTAATCAATAGCTTTCTTGCGAATTAATAATTACTGTATTTATAAACTTATTTTGGTTTATAATTGAAGTCAATTTAAACGTGATTTGTAATATCCATACAAGACAATATTCAAGCGATTTGTTTAAATTTAATTTATTTAATATTTATTTATATGAACGAAACATTTATATTGTATTTATTCGAAACAATAACTGATTTCCAAAATGTTGAATGCATTGCATTTTAATTATCGATTGGATATAAGAAGTGATCAAATATACCGAAGAGATTGTTGTCTATTAGAGAGATTTGTAAGTTTTGTAAAATAGATGTATTTGTAATGAAATACACCATTTATTTGTTAACACTTTTCACTCATTCAAAATGTGTATAAATTTAGTTATTCAACAAAATATTGTAATACTGTAATAATGAGTTAATATTAATTGTTATATCACTTGTAATCATTTCATTTCTGTATTAATCCATACATGAATAAAACTTAATTTAATAAAACATTCAATTCCGTATATGCATTGTATATTAACGTACTACATGATCCTGATGATTTGATTTGAATACCCATTATTGCTGTATTCTCGCCATACTATCACTGGTACCACACAATTGATTAATCAAAACAATGGATTATACGGTAATAGAGACATAACTTTTGAAAAAATCATTTATTGTATTATACTTATGAGGTTTTCATCATTTAATTGACAAACAATTGAAATATATGTCTAAAACTACTGTAATGTCTATTCCTTTCCCTTCTTCTTCTTTTTCTTCGTTTTCTTATGCTTTTTGTCTTTTTTATGTTTTCTCTTCTTTTTGCTCTTCTTATGTCTCATTTCTTCCTCTGAGCTGTCGGAACTGCGACTATCTGTGGCTAACTCTGAGGAATATAGCTCTTTGAAGCCATTGTGAGTCCATCTATGAGTTCACACAATCATCGCATTAATCACAATCTCTTCGCACAGCTCTTCCTCACCTCGAGTTTGAGTGCTTCTCCTCTTCAGACATCAATCTCTTGAGCCAATAGTTGTCTCGTTTCGTGTCTTTTGTTTTATGTCTTTTATGGCTCTCATGTATGTCTTCATCGCAATGTCTTTTACGGTAACTCTGGGCCACACTATCTCGAGATTGGACTCTTCGCTCATTGTCTTCATGTCTTTCATTCCTCTTTTTGGTCCACATTTCCCTCTCCTCTTTGATCTGCAAATGATAGCATCACTCGAGTGACACAATCCAAGACATGATCACACCATTGAATGCTTACTCTGTTCTGGAGTTCAGTGGACTGAATGGTATTCTTGAGCAGCATTTTGCCCGCTTTGGACACCATATCGTCGCCAATATCACCGCAATATCACCACAAGTGGTCCACAACTCTCACTCCACTCTCATCTCTCACTTCCAGTGGTTTGTTGACAACTGAGTGGTCGTGACCTCTGGTGTGAGTCATTGCAGTGACAGTGAGTGAGAGCTGAGCCCACAATCGGTTGAATCGATGATCGATTGAGTGATTCATTCATTCATTGATGCGTTCATTGGTTTGCATTACTCTTACATATCGTTAGCATTGAAATGGCGTCTCAAGTGGTGACGAGTGGTGTTGTCTCGAGTGAAGTCTCCGGCGATGACTCTCTGTATCCGATCGCTGTTCTCATCGATGAGCTGCGCAACGATGACGTGCAGGTAATGGCCCGTCGGTGGCGACCCCACCGGCAGCCCCGACCCCACACTAACCCCCTGTTGACCGGTGTTGCAGTTGCGGCTCAACTCGATCCGCAAGTTGTCGACCATTGCGTTGGCCTTAGGAGTGGAGCGCACGCGCACTGAACTGATCCCCTTCTTGACGGACACCATCTATGACGAGGAC